TTAACAGAGTCCACATAGCTTATAATGTTTTTGGTCTCGGCATTCCTTTCAGAGAGTCCACATAGCTAATACAGTAGCGTTCTATGGAAGGGGGGGGGGGGGGAGGTAGAAAACTTTTATCATTTTGCATAGTGAATGAAAGGCCACATAATAAACCTCTTTTACTGGGTAATTGGGTTTGTCGATTACGCAACTCTTTCAGAGAGTCCACATAAAAAAAACGTTGGCGTTTGCATACTTACGCAGTACGGCCACGTGTCGTTCGTTTCAAGACAATATGACCCCCGGCTGTCCGACTCGGCATAATATCCCATGTTCACACCGCTCTTGTCTCCAGGTGGACAAACCTCGCGCCCTTCCCTCGTGGGATAAGGACATCTTCCTATGGAGTTAATATACAGCGTTGTGGATCGCATATGGCTACAGAAGATGTCGAAGGTGGATTGCGGACAGTTCGGCTGATCGCTGCCTCCATTAGGGTAAAAGTCGACGTGACCGAACGGGAAATCTCTCAACCAACCGAAATCTGAAAAATATGTAAATTTATTATTACTTTCGGACATGACCAATAATTTGATCTAAAATTCCTCTTCGGTGTCGAATGAATCAACAATAATACGAACTGTTAGCTGGTTTTGCGATGCAAGTTTAATGGTATTGGAGATAATGACGTCAATGATGACTTATTCCAGGTTGTTTTTTGGAATTATTTAAATCATAGACATGTTCTTTACCGGACAATCGGCATTCTCGACAGTCCGTAAAGCGTGGACTTCCACAGTGCTTCGTAATTATCGGGAACAGCCGAGAGTTGCCGAATCGGGCTTTAGTATACCATTCGGCAATCCTCGGCAGTTTCCGTGAAGCTGAATCTTTTGCAGAGCGCTAGCAGAACTTTCACCGTACATCGTTTGTTACTACACAATATCAAAAAGCCTTTTACTCACGGAAACCGCCTTTCGTAACTAACAAATTCCCCACGTCGGTGTGTATGATATCCGTGAAACTGGCATCGGTTCTGTGTAGTCTTTCGTTAGGCGAATTCCTGGCGAATAAAAGACCTGCAGGATCTAAGGCACTGATTCTGCCAATTCTCTGTCCCATCAATCTCTGTACGTTTTTACCAGTGAAGCCGCAGCAATGAGCTCCGAGACTGTGGCCGATCAAATGTATGTCGGACGGAGGGATGTTCAGTTTTTTACTGATGGCTTGGATAAGTTCTGCTGTTTTTCTGCCGACGATTCGTGTATTAATGGCAGCACCTCTGTACACTTCCCATAAAAACTTGGCCCCTTCTTGCCAGTTTACTATAATCACGTTCAGATTTTTGATCTGGAAAAAATTTTTTTTTTTAGCTGCTTGATTGTGCTCGGTGACTTTGTGAATGGAATTATGGCGTCACAACTCCCAATATATGTACACAGAAGACGTCACAAATCCTTTTGTAATTCTCATACATTACATGCATCGATTTGTCCCTTGTGCTTCATGCTGTGAACGTAAAAAATCCCTCGCCAGTAATGTTGGATATCGAACAAGAGTATGCTAATGCCGCTGGCCATGCAAAAGTTCCCTTATTGCACACTGTTGGGTGTCATCCATCCTCATTAGGGCCCCATTATACCGCTGTCCTGGCAATGTCCCCCATGTCCGTCCTCAGCGCAAACTGGTGCAGAAAAGATTGATGAATGTTCTCATTTCAATGCCGAATCTTACCTTAAGTAGTTCATTTTTCATTGCTTGAACCCAATAGGAGTAGCCATTTTGAGTAAAACCGTGGAATATAAATACCACCCGGGTATTCGGTAGAAATCTACAGCCCAGGTCTTCAGTGCTGATCATTTCAGGCGTTTTGCTGTGGTTCTGGGTGTATAACAGGAATTCCATGTCAAATTTCCGGGGTGGAACTGAAATAGATGAATGGAGGTTTACGTCTTAGATTTATTTCACTTATTGGACCCATGAAATGAGATCGGAATAATGAAATAAAATGAAATAGAGTTTTATATCCTACTGTTCTGTATCTTATTAGACTAATGAAATGAAATAGAGTTTTATATCCTACTGTTCTGTATCTTATTAGACTAATGAAATGAAATAGAGTTTTATATCCTACTGTTCTGTATCTTATTAGACTAATGAAATGAAATAGAGTTTTATATCCTACTGTTCTGTATCTTATTGGACTAATGAAATGAAATGGAGTTTTATATCCTACACTTCTGTACCTTATTAGACTAATGAAATGAAATAGAGTTTTATATCCTACTGTTCTGTATCTTATTGGACTAATGAAATGAAATGGAGTTTTATATCCTACACTTCTGTACCTTATTAGACTAATGAAATGAAATAGAGTTTTATGTCTTACTGTTCTATTCGTCTTATTTAGCTAATGGAAACAGACAAAGGTTATTATTTGATATGAATACTTACGCTCTATTTTAGGAAAAGAAATTCCGAATAGACCTCCTTCCCCAGATTCCTTGCTGGCTGTTTCAAAAGACTCTTCTCCACGTTCTTTGGACTCTCTCCCATCTTCGTCATCTCCATTGTCATTAGCATCTGCATCCGTATCCATTGCACCAGCATCTGCTGGAGCTTCCGCAAGATATCTATTTGCAAGATATCTATTTATAGCACCAGGATTTGCTGGAAACTCTTCAGCCGCAACATCTGCATCTGCATATTTAGCTGCATCCTCTCTGTCTACATATTCAGCATCTTCATCAGCATCTTCATCCGTAGCTTGTTCTTCAGTATTTGCATCTCCATTTGTAACTTCATCCGTAGCTTGTACTTCACGATTTGCATCTCCATCAGTACCAGGTTCTGTTGGATAATCCCCTCCTTCGGCATAATCTGCAGTCTCCCTTTCTGAAACTTCATCGTCCTCCATACTGTTCAACTCGGTCGTGTCCGGGTCCATCTCTCGAGTATGAACATCCCTGGCTGCTCGAATGCGTTTTGCATCATTACCAGTAAGAGCGCCATCAATAGCCCTAGTTGTACCAGTTACGCCCACAAGAGGTTCAGCACTTTTCCCAGAGAATCCATTTATTGAACCGAGAAACATAGATGACAAAACCAGAACCAATTTTACCACGTCCATGATCGTGATTGCGCACCGTCAACAAAAACAGAGCTACCTTCTTGATTTGCTTTGAACGTTCAATCGGACGTTCCAACGGAAATCATAGGAGCTCACTTTGGAGAGCCTTACGAAACTCGAGTTTCTATCACACTAAGACACCTGCCTTCATGACAAAAAAACGCCTCAATTGCCCAATTTTTAAATTTATTGTTTTAAATTATATTTTATTTACTTAAAGTGACTATTCCAGATAGATTTAATGTCGCTATCCATTTTTTGACAATGAAAGGTCATTAAAGGGATTGTTAAGAAGATTTCTAGTCTTTGTATGTGTATTGGATACACTAATGGCTAAAATTTATACTACATTCGGCAAACCACAGCATTTTGGAATCGCTTGTAGAACTTTCACTGTAGACTGTTTGTTTGAAAATAGGAATGGGGCAAATTGATGCTATCAGTAACTGTGTTTCCACTGAGCGAAGAAGCCGGCTTTCAGCTAGCTTTCGTGTGTTTCCACAGTCCTAATTGTCGAACCCTGACGGTTCCAAAAACGAAAACTTCTCTTTTTGCTTTCGGCAATTTATGGTGGGCCAACTGAAAGCTAGCTTGATGCCGGCTTTCACTTAACCAGAGGAAACGCAAAAAAAAAAAAAACACCTTTATCTCTTTCGGCAATAGGGGGCGTACTGGTCTTTCTTGTCTATTGCATTTCTAACTGATCTAAACAGTAGTCTTGTACACCATGAGTTGCCAATAAGTTTGACTTTGTGATCGAGGCAAAAGTCGTTCGGGAACCAGTTAAACTCGGTGTAAACGCTACGCGTTCGTCAAAAAAGCTGGCTCTAATCTAGCTTAAAGCTAGCTTTACTTTACCATTCTCAGTGGAAACGCAGTCAGTGCCCCCGATACCCATAAAAAAATTAATGAACCCCTTTACCATCCCTTTAACGGTATCTTTTTGCATCTTTTCTACATAGAACGCCACTTTAAAGTTTGAAGTAAATCTTAAGAATCTATGAGTATTATACATACAATGTGTTTGAAAACTTGTTTTATCGTAAAATTGTCAAAAAAAGATGAAGTTTTTATGATTTAAATACTTGACAAATCCTAACATATCAATCATATTTGAAAGCTATTTCAATTTTAAAGAGATAATCGGTAAAGAATTTCATGATTTTAATAAAAACCAAACAGTATATCATTTTCTAATATTTATTAAAAATCATAATTCATTAGAATTAAGGAAATATGAGGCTATAAATGACGTCATTTTTTATTTTAGGCGGGAATCTTCACTTTTATTTTGGTCGTCTGCAAAAAAAAGAAACGGATCGAAATTAAATACAGCCAATCAGAGCCCTCGGCCCTCGACAGAAAAACTGTAAACTGCATATATAATATTGCATTGCACAATCCAATCAAATCGATGCATGAACAAACTTCCGATACAACAAATATAGTGTCTAATGCAGTCAAGGTATAAGACGCCTTTTGGAAATGAAATGTGTCATAGGCCTACTGTTCTACAAACCTTATTGCATAATGTTCTCCTGTATTTGTTTCTAAAATGGAAAAGCTCAATGAAACTCACCTATCTACCTGCCTCCGACGCAGATACAGTTGTTATTCGGGGGGTGACCGTAATTCATACAATAGCCACCACTTCTGGCGCATCCAGCATCCGCACATCCTCCCCAACCTATACTCATGCATCCGCATCCGGCTTGCACCTGGAATTGATGATATAACGGGCACCAATTAGTATCCATTGTAAATACAAATTAAAGATGAACATTATTAGCTATGTGGACTCTCTGAAAGAGATGCAGAGATGACAAACCTCAATACTGAATAAACATAATTAGTTATGTGAACTCTCTCAGTGGCGGAGCCAAAGGGGGGTGGGGGCGGGGTAGAGGGGTTACCCGCCTCCCTAGCTGCCCCGAGGGCATGTTTTTTGGGGCAAAATTCTCATGACTAGGTTAGAAATTCGGGCAACCTAAGATATTTCGACCCCCACCCCCTCGGACGTAATCCTGGCTCCGCCACTGGACTCTCTGAAAGGGATGCGGAGTTGACAAACCTAAATACCCAACACATTATATTAGCTATGTGAACTCCCTGTAAAAGATGCAGAGTAACACACCTTATTACATTATCAGTTATGTGGACTCTCTGCAAGGGGTCCAAAATTCTACAAACGTAAATCTTCATTTTCTATGCATAATAGCTGCCAAGTAGACTGACATTATATCGTCCCAACAAGCCTCAAAATAGAATGGCGTAAAGCTTCCTTTTACTGAATATACAAGCTCGATTTTACCCCCCCCCCCCCCCCCCC